TTCAATTCCCGATTGGCTTCGATGTTAGCAGATACCCAACAACAACATAAGAAGAGGAAGAGTGGGAGCGACTTGTCATCCAAAGCCACAACCTTTTTTTTTTTTTTTCTGAGGCCAAAGGCCTAGAGAATAATCTTCTAGAGAGGTGATAAGAGCAACCTTTTCTAGTACATCAATGAAATGCCCACTCCATCTCTTAGCGGCGAGAAACACCTGCTGGAAACCGGTCCAGCGTCCCCCCATTAAAACACGACAAAGACTCCAAAAAATGACATAATAATGAAGGAAGCCTGGAACCTGTACCTCTTCAAACTCTTAATGGGGCCCCGATGCATACCCTTTTTTTTTTTCTTTTTTTTTTAACACAAAAACAAGCTCCATCTATTGGTGGGGAGCAGCACCTGCTGTCCAGCATCCCATAGATACAACCATATTATGCTTTACTAGTACTCGACAGTCAGACATGACGAACCAAGGAAGGGAACAAAACATACCCTCCCGTCTTGCCCCACTACTGCAATCCATACCAGCTCTGATGCACCAAACTCACGGACGACGAACAGTGGCAAGATCGGACAACGGCCGAAGTGCAACACAGGAATCCAGATTTCTCTACCTTCTTCCCCCGAATAAAACGTACGGTCGTTATAGCTGAATTTGGGCCGCATTTTAGTCTAGGTACGGCTATAATCGCCATATGTTCTACTCGGGGGAAGAAGGTCGTCTCGGAAAACCAGGAGATAGTGCCTTCACATTTTAGTCTAGACCTGCTGAACTTTTAGGTTTAAAACTAGACTACCAGCCGGGCGGCCCGGCCGTGCAAGAACCAAGGAACGTCCGAAACAAACCTATATTATGCAGAAAAATAAACTGAACAACTTTTGCCTCAGGGACAGATCGAAATTCTTTACCAAATTTAAAATAAAATTTTTAATTAAAAAATATTTCTATTTTTTATTTTTTTGTTTCTTTTTGGCCCGGCCAGGCAAGTGGACCAGGGCCTCTCCGGTAGCCTGGGTTTTAAATGAAAATATACTTCAAGGATTTTTCCTCTGCTTTAGGAACTTATGGACTCACTCCACTCGTCACCCACGTACAAAAGACAAAACAATATGGCAGCATATCAACCCATGTTCTACAAGAAGATTCACTCTCGTTTGCACATTTGGTGAGTAGTGGAGTAGGGCAATTATTTTTTTGCAACTACTACGCTTCGCTAGACCACCAGCTCCGGCGGCGGCGCATCGGCCGAACCAGTCTACTAGGGAGTCCCACTAGCGGGGGTTCGAACATCTCACCCCTGCACTGGTGCCCACCCGTTCCTCCCATCCGATCGGAACATCTCACCCGCTGCACTGTTGTCACGCCGTAAAACAATCGAAAGCAAAGACTAAACCCCCCGCTGGTGGGACTTCGCTCCTGGTAGCAGCTGAGTGCGGAACCGTTTTGTGAGTGTGGATGACCTCGGGGAGCAATAACGAACGCAAACTTTGGCTACCGAACTGTTTTTCTTTCTTTTTTTTTTATTCATAAAAGCGCAACGACCTTCAGGTATCATCATGGAACTGACTTGCCATTGGCACTGCAGAATCATTTCATTCGTCGGATAACAAGGGGGGTTGAAATCAGGTGCCGTTATCGTCAGTAAGGGACGCTGGACCCATTCTCCAGCAGGTGTCGCTCCCCACCAATATATGGAGCCTCTTCCCAGGTGTTAGTGGTGTCTGGTCTTATCAGCACCACTAGCACTGAATAAAAAATAAAAAAATAAAAAAAAAAAGGGTTCAGGCGGGTGTACCCTTTATAGCCACATGAGCTGGGTAGGCGGTGGTACTGATTTCAACTTCTCACCATCCAAGACGATTTCTTTTTTCTGATAAGAAAAAGAAAAAGAACACCAGTGGCCACCCAGTATTAAGCCACCGATACCTTTCCCAGCCATTTCTTCAAAATTGCAGCTTGCATGCTGCTGCAATTTTCGGGGTCGGCAGCCAGAGCAAAATGTCTACCAGCGCCAACCAGAACAAGGCCCAAGAAAGTGCCTCGGAAGTACTGGGGGGTTCAACTTTAAAGTTTAAACCACCACTACTTGGCCCAGTTATCGGCCGCAGAAAAAAAAAAAGAAAAAAAAAAGAAAAAAAGAGTAGAAACATTTCTACTCGGATGAATTTGGACGCTCCTGTAGTGGCCCGTATGTTTCCTAAAATCGTGGCTTACTGGTGACATGTGTTTTTGATGTTGTGCGTCTCTTCAACTTCGAATGCCAGTGAAATACACAAGTGCATGTCCTGACGTTAGGAGGGGGGGGGGGAATCCTGTTTCAGGACTGAAAAATACCAAATGTGAAGTTTCTGAAATTTCACTTTTCTGCACCAACCAACAGGCCTAGCTCAGTTGGTACACCCATGAACTCTGTTGAAATACACAGGACCAAACTTCGAATCCATATGCAGTCATATTAACAAAATAACATACTTCCAAATTATCTAGACCCGGTTTAAGTGAAAAATCATCAACATCATCGATACCTCTCAAGTCAATGAGCAATATCACACCGTACATCACGCAACCCACTGATTGAAAGAGTCGAGTACAAACAACCGACAACCTTTCAGCGCAATGAACCTCCACTCAATCCGCAGCCCCACTGCGGTCGTACCGGCATAAGCCGCGTCGACCATGAAAGAGGACAAAGCTGCTTCAGGTGCCAAATGGATTGGAGCATGCTTTCACAGAAGAAGAAGAAAAAAAAACATAAAGCAAGTTATTGTACAGGGGGAGCCAAGCCCCCACGTTTAGTTTCCTCAAAATCTGAATGTGGACGTGTTTGTGGAGATGTGCAAAAAACTGCGTTTAGTTTTCCTCAACCACACATCTCCACAAACACGTCCACATTCGGGCGTTGAGGAAACACAACGCTTCTAGCGGGAATTGGCCCCTGGTGGGCGCAGAAAAGACAAAACAAGACATACAGATGGAGAATATAACATAAACATTCAGAAAAAGGACAAGTGCAAGACGACAAAAAAACAAGTCATTCAAAAAAAAAAAAAAAAAAAAAAAGTTGTTCAGGACATCCAAGAAAAATGAAACGATACACAGAAAGAAGATTGTTTTTTTTTTTTTTTTTTTAAAGCTATATTCTTCTCTCAATTTCACCTCACACTACCTACCTACCACTACCCCTAATTGTAGGCATACGGGGAACCCCGTAGCAGCCAGAACCGTGTTCACGAGAGAACATGCGGGGGCTGCTCCCGACCTGCAGGTGCGCGATATTAGCATGGCTCCTGTGCAAGGCTGACACATAAGACATCAAGAAATGGTCCACAATTCTCCAAATTAAAAAAACAAAAAACAAAGAAAACAGAAAAAAAAACAAGATCTCTTTCACAACTGTGAATGGCCACCATGTCATTTTCCTCCCTCCACAACGCACCCACATTATCAAACGCATACAAGCTATATTTCTGGTAAGATACGGTCATGATTCGGATCTGTGATGTTCAGGGAAAGGCGGTACGACAGCGGGGCTACGTAGGCCATGTGTATTTCCTGCGGCCAAGTCCCACTGGCGGCGTTGAGTTTCCTCAACGCCCGAATCTGGACGTGTCTGCGGAGACATGCGTATTTCCTGCGGCCAAGTCCCACTGGCAGCGTTGAGCTTCTTCAAGGCCCGAATCTGGACGTGTCTGTGGAGGCGTGCAGAAAGTCGCATTGAGTTTCCGTAACCGCACCTCTCCACAAACACGTCCAGATTCAGGCCTTGAGGAAACTCAATAAAGCTCAATGCATACGAGTTATGTTCGGGGGAAGACTGTAGTCATACAGTGACATACACATTGTAATCAAGCCCTGTCAGTGATCTCTCTCTCTCTCTCTCTCTCTCTCTCTCTCTCTCTCTCTCTCTCTCTCTCTCTCTCTCTCTCTCT